ATCTCCAGATGTTTTGTACTTAAGATGAATAGCAATTTCACGCCACCCTCACAATAATTGAAGGTCTCTCTACCCAGTCAGCTTATTGAACTTACTTGGACTCTCTCCATTTACTCTCATTTCCGCTCTAAGAATAAAAACAACCACTAGCTTTGTGTTTCAAAACACATACTCAGCATATTTGAGTATTTTTTGGCAAAACTAAGCCTTACTGAGTCTAACAAGAATATTATAAGTCGAGTAGAAGTCCACTGAACAAAGATAAATTAAGAAGAATGTTGAAAAATGAAGGACGTCCAAACTTAACAAAGATTATATGCAGCTAGAGCCGAATTCTTTGTTTCTACAAGACTTCTTTGAATTGGGCTGCCAGGTTCCTCGATAAACACTTCTTTTAGAGAAAAGTGTTTTAGAGAGAAAGAAGAAACTTGCCAGCTTCCAACAAAATTGAGTGCTGGTGGGAGAGGTATGTGGGAAAATTAAAGAAATCCAAGGAGCAGTGAGTTAGGCCACTTTGATTCCCACCTCTTAAATTCTGTTGGCTGGGAGAGTAACTTACGAGTTAGTGTAAAAGTAGTTTTTCTTTGCTGATTTCATAGGCAAAATTTCCGGAGTGCTTGGGTCTTCCCGTTCAAGTGCGGTTTCTCACCAATCTGACAACTAGTTTTTTTCAGTTTTATTGCTATTTTTCCTTTGCTTTCCTAAATTATCCGTGAAGTTGTTCTTGCGTCGGGTGACATCGGACTTGAATCTGAGAATCACCTCACATTCAGCACTTGTACCGCCCTAGGCATATGGTGGATGCTAAGTTCCGCAAGAAGGATATTTTAGAAGAAAAATGCTATGAAAGGGCTAAATCTGCAATTATTAGATATCCTTTTTTTGGAAAAAACTTCTCACATTTATCGACGGTTTAGGCCTTATATGCGAAGGGCTGTAGATTGTTATTTTCACAAACAATTGTCACAAATGTCTGACATTATTTATTCATGTCAATATTCATAAAATGAGTATCATCAGGCACCGAACGCACACATATATACGAAAGTATGTTTCCACCACTTGTTTAAAGGATATTGTGACTTAAAACATGACATACTGTAGATGATGATGGTATTATACCGTAGTTACAAATGGCTAACAAAAAAACGAATTCCTCCTTTAAACCCGGCAGTGAAGAATTTTTAAAATACAGATTGGATTTTTCAAAAGCAATACCTAATTATGGTATGGGTAGAAGCTTGAGGAAATTTGAGGAGCTTAGAACGATTGTAGTGCGTAGAACAGAATGAGCAGATTTTTTTTTAAGGACCGGGGAACGAAAGCCTTTGAGCATACACCGCACACGCACAATTCACATATACACAGTGACATAACTCCATACTGCCTTTCGGCAACTGCTCTTTTACCCATGTAGGGTTGGATAGGGTTACCCTTTATCCAGTGAGCGGAGTTAGACTGAAGAGGAAGATGCTAAAGTTGTTATCAGGCCCTAATAAATCAGTTCTTCTCTCGTTTGTGTTTCCTGCTTTCGATTTGGATCAAGGAATGGGAGATCTTTTGGATCCTGCACTGGTGCCATTGGGCCATTGCGAGGCAAGAGCGTGGCACGAGGTACTGTAATTAAGGTTTTTATAGGATACCTTATACCAAACTTTTGGAAATTATAATTTTCACCCACTTGTTCCGTATAGCTCAGTGGGTGGTAGAATCATTGGTGGAGTCATTTGTGGTGGAGCGTAGACGCCACCAGGAGCAGAATACTCAGATGCGGGTGCACGTCGTATGGAGCCGGGTTCACTTCGCGGCTAAATAATCAATAAATCGAAGTAT